CAGCGTTGGTATTTCTACTTCTGTCCCTTCTTTCTGTTCTGACAAACTTTGCTATAAATCCATGTCAGCATCTTGTAGACCACTATTAAAGATGTTCGGTTTCCAAAAATTCATGCTACAGGAATTTAGGAAGTTACTGCACCTAGACAGACTTATCCCTTTACTGTCCCCATGAGCGTTAAGACTTTCTCAGCACATATTTCTAAGGTAAGTGTATGAAAGTGACTTAAAGCAATGGCTGCGAGGCAACTGATGGACAGGCTCACCTTTATTCTGTAGCTCCCACTAACCTCAAGGGAGAACAAGGATTAGTAACCTTAAACAGCCCCCAAAATGAATCTTCAAAGATTGCAAGCCATAGATTCCTGCCAGTCTGCCTGACCTTGTGGTACAGAGCTGAATTCCTTGCCTCCATCATTCATGTAAGCCTCCAGTACTACAAAAAAATCCCTCCATTTCTTATCTTTTGTTTCTATGTGACATTTCAACGTTGCATTAATGGTACAAGAGCTATGAGGACTGCTCAGGCTCCAGAAATGCTGGTTTAGCTGTCAGATGTTATAAAGGAACAGGCCTGCCTTCTAAAAAACACTTTGAGACCTTGCTTCCCATGACTGGCATGGGTATTTACCCCAAAGTTAAGTGATGGCATAGCTAACTTGGTATGTTTTATAGTTTCTCTGCACCTGTACTATCCTTTTTTTTTTTTTTGGCATCTGATGAGGCCTGCAATAAACTCTCATGACACCATGAATCTCTCTGCTTAGATTTAATGTTTCTAGAGAAGGATACTTTTGTACATACGTACTACATATGTAACACTTAATTCAGACTAATTTAATTTGCTAACCAAATGGCAAAGAGTCTCTATGGCAGAGACCTCATGTTAGCAAAAACAATCACAAACAATAAAAAAACCAAAACACATACAGCATGAACTTTGGAATTACCACCACTGGCAAAAATTAATCTGAATGGGGAATTTCTTTACATTTTAATTTTCTATTTTATTTTGCTTGTAATTAAAAATAAATGATGTAAAGCTGGTTTATAAAAACACTAGCAAACAAAAAACCTCTTTACCCAAATTAAAAGCAACAACCCATGAGAGAGAAACGCTCCGCTATGTTTAGAGTTCTGTAGGGACTAGTATACATACAGGGATTTTAATTTTCCACGGCCTGTAAGTGTTATAATCTCTATCAACTGTGTACACTCTGGGATCATGACTAACACTATTTCTGGAACTCCAACTGGCTGTTGGTTTCTTTCTTCTTTCTTTCACACTGTTTTTAAATTCAGATTTGCTCCAAGAATTTACAGGGATAAAAGTTTTTACAGCCTTATGTTCCTCTCAAGTCTAAAACACAGGTCTGTTACAGGACTTTCTATCAACAAATCACAGATGTCTACAAATCAATGTAATCAGTGTGAATGGTCAAAACTTGTCTGAGGGACAAAGGCTTTATTGCTCTAGTAATTACATTTTTTTAATAGAGATTAAAAGATGACAGGACATTCAGACACCTGGACTGTCTTCACAATTTTACTACTAGACTAGTAGTACCAGTAGTCCTTTCTTTTCATCCATGGCCAACGCATCACCTTGTACGAGTTCCTTCTCCGAAATCATTATGCCCCTCTCATGCGCTGTGCTTGCACGCTACAGGAATAGTTACAACAGATGTCTTCTCCAGGGTCTTCGGACATCTTGAGCTTTCCAGCTTTTCCACCTCTCACATCACCTCTTTAAAGAAACAGGCTTACCTGAACTACTTTCTCCCTTTACTTTTCAGTGTACCGCTTTCCAGATATAGCGGTTCTGGCAGCTTTCAGTGCTCCACAAACTTCTGTTTTAGTACTGCCATGTTAGTTACCCGTTAAGTCCCATTTAGTCACACTAAACAATGCTTCACTCTCTAAGACTTGATTCACTGGGACAACAAGGAAATTTTATTTTATGCATTGTGAGTCATTCTTTCTCTGCTACCTGAAAACTATAGCTGCATAGCTATAATCAGATAGGGAGAAAGAAGAGGCACATTGCCATTTGTCCAGAGTTTAATAACCTCCAGTTGTTCAAGCTGTTGTCTTTCTACCCCCATCAAGTGGCCTGTTAGTTCTGTGACAGATGCCATGAAAAAGCTACAGTGGACTTGTTTTGTATTTCTTTGTAGACTTTCTCAGAGAGCCATACAGAACCTTTAGAAAAACATCCATGTCTCAGGGCAGGGCTGGGAGACTTCGCTACCTCACGTTTAGGTTGGTGCTGCAGTTATTTCTTAGAGGAAACTGTAAGGATAAGTGACCCACAAAGCCCTGTGCAACTCAGAATAACAAGGGGGAAGATGGCTAAGATGTCTCAGAGACCTCTACCTAGATTGACAGACTTGGCTTACCTCAAGAGAACTGAGAAAGGGTCACACAGTTTTCCTTGATTTGCATACACTAATGGCTAACTGGTATCATGATTTAATAGACTTTCATTGACAACATATAAAACAACAAAACAACAGTGTTGAGAGCGCAGCCAACAGAGGCAGCGAACAGACGCAGCAATTTGCGCAGCAGTGTCTGGGCTCTGCCTGGGCCTTGGGCCTTGTTGGAAGTTGTGGAGACTTTCTGGGGACCCCCGAGGAACTAGACGGTGCTTGCTGCTAGCAGGAAGGGAGAGCTGGGCAAGGACTCCTGCAGGGGACCTTGACTTAACTTCTCCTGGGAAGTTCTAGCTAGGTGGGGCTGCTGCTAACGAGCTCTCTGGGCTGCCCTGGTCAGAGGGAGTTGGGGCTTTTGTTTCAAGTGGCTCCTGATTGGGTGGGTCAAGCACCCTTGTGAGTCACTGCTAGGCAGAGGCCTATATAAGAGCCAGGCCTAGAGCGCAGCTCCCAGAGCGCAGCCAACAGAGGCAGCAGTTTGCGCAGAAGGGCGCCAGAAGGCACCTCTCCATTTTGCACACTTTGCACAGTGGTGTGTCCTTCCCCGGGGCATGGTCATGACACGCCGCAGAGCATGTTCCCCAGTGGCTGCGGGAGGTGCTGCATTGGCTGTGTCTGAGGCCTCAACCCAGACAGACCCTCAGACAGCAGGAGAAAACCCAAATCCAACAATTTTAACTGCAGTAGGAGGAAAGTATCAAATAATAATAGTAACTTTTGCAAATTCCTTATTCTGTTTCTGACAAAGACTTAAAAGACATACGCTTCATTATCTTTTTGTGTATTTCCATTAGTCAGTCCTTGCACATGAGATACATAGCACTGGTGTGGACAAAGATACAGCCAAGCTAAGGAAGAGTCCTGTCTCAACTGCAGACCATCTGAATATGAGCTAAGCAATCTGGGAATTACACTCACAAATCATATTAACAGCAGGATTTCTGCACGCAACTCCCTGCTCTGAAATACCTGTCATATGCTTTTGTTCTCTCATACATCTCCTTTAGGAGTCCCAGAAGTTCTTTTCTGAGTGAGTCATATACTAAATATTTCACAAAACATGGACCTTTTCTTCACTCCCAGTGGTTTTCAGTCATCTACTTTACTGCCAACATTTGGTCGACAGTACCATGTCCTTCTCTGAACTCTGTCTCTGTCCTTGTATCTTGTTTATGAGCACTGTGGCAAACACTCGGCAGTCAGACTGTCCTTGAGTCCTTATGTGTCTCTCCTTTTTGTGAGCAGGATTAGTGCTGCCAGCCTCTAAACTCAAGGAACTGTCCTTTCCCAACTCGAATGCCACATTTCATACCCCCCCATCATCTCTTGATGCTGCAGTATTAGGATTTGCTTCTTCTTTTCCCATGGTCTTCAGTTTTAGCATCAAAATCCCAAAGCTGCCCCAAAAAGAAAAACTTGCGCTTTCTCTCTCACCAAAACATCCTACACATTTTACTTGCAGAAGCTGTCAGGGCAAAGTACAAAGTAGGAAAGAACACAGGAGTGAATATAGGTAGAGAAATGCTGACAACTTCAGTAGCAACTTCATGCAAATGTGCAAATGTGAAAATCTAAGATTTATTTTATATCTTGTGCAGAGGTGACTACAAATTACAGGAATTAAAAAAAAAAAAAGCCAAAAAAAATTAGTGAACTTAGAGCTTTTTGAATTACCTTCCTGTCAATGGTATACAGTGGTGATTCATGAGGCCGTTGTTACAAAATAATGCATATTTAATTATCAAAAGAAAACCTTTTAAAGTCTCAAATTTAGCACCATAGTTTTAGAATTTTTCTCTCAATATAAGTCAAAATAGAAAAGCCATACAACCCAACAATGTTTTACATTACTTAACATCATTCCTCCAATGAGTACCCAAAGCATTTTATAAAATATGGAGTGCATACATAGAGAATCTCAACAGCAATCCACTTCTACTACAGAGGTTGTCAAAATCAAATCAAACAATACATTTTAAGTAAAATATTAGAATGAAACCCTAATCACACATCTGAAGAGTACCCAGAATAATTAACCTATATAAACCAGACAAAATCTCAGGTTTTCAAGATCTCTGATGAAATATTGCATGCCGAAATGCTAAAGTGTAGTCTATGTTTTTGCTGTATTTTTTAAGATGCTTTCTCTTTTCCAGGCATGTCCTTTGAAAAAAAGGCAAATTACTAAACACATTTAAGCTTATTTTTGCACTTCTAATTTAAAAAGTATAGTCAAATGGTTATTTTTAAGGTTACATATGCACCCTAGTTGGGCTGGAAAAAACCCCAAAACTACCGCCCAAAGATCATTTTCATGACCAAGTCCAGTTCCAAAATCAGGGTTTTATGAAGACTATACTGACACAGTGCCAGACAGCATGAAAGGCATAATTAACTGTATTTTGCTTTTAGGTGAAAAGGCTTGGTAGGACGAACTCCTACCAAAGCCTTTCCTCTGTGCAATGTATTACATAGCTCAAAATAGGAAGTGAAATTTTAAGCTAAATTTAAAGGGCAATACCATGAGTATCACAGTTCTGTACTGGTCAGAGAAAAACTCCATACCTGCTCTGCAGTTCGCTCATGCATAAGGAGGCTTTATGTGAAAATTCTCCTATTTTAGTTAAGTCTTCTTTTGATGAGTTAGTCTCATCCTAAAACAAAACAAAGCAAAAACCAGAAATCAAATTCTCATTACCTTCGTTTCTGATTACAATGATCCCACCTCAAAAAAAACTTTTCTTTCCATTTACTAAAAGACTGTTGAAGTGCTTAGGTTTCTTAGGGGAGAAAAGGAGAAAGTGTAATGAACCAAATGCCACTTATGAACATTTTTAATTAAGTTCACCACAACATAGCTAATAATTTTCAGGTAATAAACTGGAACGAATTTCTTGGCATTGTAGAGCTAAAGAACTATACAGACAACATCAGCCTCAATTATCACCAACAAACATGTGGCATAAATGCTATGAAACCCACTGCTCACTACCTTATTTTGTGTCTTGCAGAAGAGGGAGAAAAGAACCCCAAACTTCCAGGATTCGTTAGCTTTTCATAATGAGCTACTGTTATCCATGTAAGGCACTTTACGAGACAGCAGCATTCAACACATCTAAATAATTTCATTCCACATACAGGGTTGAGAATATGCTTATTCAACTTTAAAAAATATCTGTGATATACCTAATGACCCTTTAGTGGTATTCTTAAGAGTTGCTAGAAAGCACTCTCATCTTCCAAACGCTGTATAGACGTTAATCAACCTACAGTTACCCTTTGAGGTAAGTAAGAAATAAAATACCTCCTTTGCAGTGAGCCAGTTGCTCACCTGAGACAGGATGGTAGGAATTCCATCCATATATGACCATGTTCACTCTACACTGAAGACCCCAGCCACTACTTAAGAGACGACACCAAGTGATGCTTTCAGCAGAAGCCAATTGCTATAAGGATTAGGAAACAAAATAATCTTTCATGATATACAAGGAATAACTGGAAAAAGAGACTGCAGTAAAAATAAACAAGCTTTTTTTTTTTTTTAAACACAGAACTGGGAGAGAAGACAATAAATATAATGGCAGATGGCAGTAAGATGCAGAGCAAGCTGAATGGCAGGAGTACAGATGAAGGAAAACCTAACACAATTTATTGTGGTGAACTACAAAGTAATAAGTGTGTTTGTAAACAGGAAAACTCTTCTTCCTTCAGCAGTCACACACTATAAAGCACTGAGTGGAGGAAATGGGGTACAGTGGTAAATAAAACTCTGCAGTATTTGCAAGAGGCAAATTATGTTCTGGAAAGCAGAAAAAGGTGGAAACATTATGATACTGTCAAAATATCATAGTGGAAAGCAACAGTGGACACCCTAAGGAACCTGCAGCACAGTTCCAGTCACACTATTTTTAGAGAGCACTATGGAAACAAAGTTCTGAAAAACACAGCTGGATGCTTCTGGGAATGGTTATTTAGCATTAGGCTCATTGGAATAAAACAGAATAAGAGATACTTTTAAACCTTTAGAAGTTTGGAACAGGCTCCAGACTGGAGCCACAGCCTCTTCTCCGTGGTGCCCAGCAACAGGACAAGAGGCAATGGGCAGAAACTGAACCACAGGAAGTTCCGTCTGAACCTGAGAAAAAACTTCTTCACTGTGAGGGTGACAGAGCATTGGAACAGGTTGCCCAGAGAGGTAGTGGAGCCTCCTTCCCTGGAGATATCCAAAACCCATCTGGATGTGATCCTGGGAAATATGCTCTAGGTGACCCTGCTTGAGCAGGGAGGTTGGACTAGATGATCTCCAGAGGTCCCTTCCAACCTCAACCATTCTGTGATTCTGTAACTTATTTGCCAGTTTATATGGGTTCACTCCAATAAGTCAGTGTACCCGAGACAGAAACTTGGGAATATTTGTCAAAAAAAAAAAAGGTAGAAAATGACATTTGAAAATTAAGTTTCCATAGAATAAGCAGGAAAGAAGAAATAGGAACCTACACATTAAATGAGAAGCTCAGTTTGCCATGAACTATCAGACAAGTCTAGAGGGCAGATATCAGCTCTATTGAGAGTCTTTAATCGCATTGGATAACTAAGATAAACAGAGACTGAAGGGCTGCCCTAGACGCATACAAATTTATTGAATTATGACATGTTTGAGAAGTTATTTACTTTGTGGAATATTTATATAAGGCTCACTTCCTCTTCAAATATAAGCTCAAGTAGTACAAAGTTTTTAGCTTTTTCTTCCCCTCCCCCCCACCAAACAAGGGGACTACATTCAACAGCCACACAAACATCCATAATTAACTTTCTTCAGGCATGTTCCTAGGAAAGTTTTCTAGTTATTCACTTCCCCAGAGCCAAAGCAATGCCAAGGAAAAGCCCCTCGCCACGTATGTCTCATTCGTCTAGTGAAAGAATGAAAGCACAGGGCACCAAGAGGAAGAGGGAGAAGAGGAGACAGGGTATAAAGCGATGATCCCACAACTGGATTATTAGTCTTTGCTCTGCTATAGGCACCTGATAGGCCTTAGACCAGGCTCTTTGTACCTCACTTCACCAGCTGAATTAATCTCTTGTCATACAGTATCTACAAGATGCAGCACTGAGTGGTACTACGTACGTGACTACCTAACAAAAACAGATGCCAAGCGTTTTAATGAACACAGCTCATTAGATTAGGGATTTGGCAAGAGGACGTTTCTCAGCTTGGCAAGGTAGAGTACTGTAACTACTACAACAGCTGATTCATCCTCAGATTGGTTGGCCCATCCACACTTTTGCTTACCTGAGAAGTGTCATGATTGAATATGACAGCATTCAGGTCTCCACAGTTATAATGCTTGATGAGATCTTCAGTGGTATATGGGGCCTGCAAACTACCTGCTCGGAGACTTTCATGTTGGAGTAAAGTTTGGTTTAGAGCAAACAGCACCTGTAGAAATACAAACAGCAAAAACAGGCATGAGTTAGAAATCACAGGAGCAAAGCCTGAAAGGCCAAACTTTGAGAAACCTTCATGGAGTCCCACCTGAGGTCCTTTGACTTCTCCTGGCCAACAGTAACAAGGAGTGATCTTTAGCCATTCCCAACTGGGAGGGGGGTCAGATGCAAGGCCATCTGCTAGCAGAAGACCTTTCTAGAAGGCCTTTGATATTCCTCACTACAAATTGCTTTAATAACACGTATTTTGCTGGGAGATCACGGTGGCAAAGTGGTCTGAGGACTTCTAGCCAAGTTGTCTGCACAGGTAGCCTAAAAGAGGCACACTGGAATAAAAGCCCCCAAATTAGGAAACAGACAGCAGAAATTCCCTATCAGCTAGTTTAAATTCAAAGTCCAAACCGAGTTGGAAGTTTCTGGATAAAAAAAAAATCAAAACCTTTCAAACATCTGAAGTTACACTTAAAGAAATATTGGGACTTTCTGCATGCTAATAATAGCAGAAACTTTAAGAATCAAAGCTTGTTAGCCTCCCTCCCGGGCTTTACCCTTCCACTCAGCCTTTGGTAAAATGAATAGAGGTACTGATTCATCACACTGTTGCAACAGACTAATTGAGTGTCCTCATCCAAATCTGAAAATATGAAATGTACTCTTTTACAGAGAAAATAGAAGCACACTTTACTATCTACACTGCATAGCCAAAGAAAAACTGTCCATATAGACAATATTTTTCCTTGCGTTACATAAAAGGCTACTAAATTCCATAAGCATTATCACATTTTTATATATTTGTGACAGACTGTGGGGGTGATTTATACTGATCGCTCAACCACCGAGACTGAGCTTTCCATGTTCAGCTTTCCAAGAATTTTCCAAGGAAATTTGATAAAAAGTAGATGAGCAATCAGAAGTACAGCAGTTAAGACAGTGAGTTCATCACAAATTATAGAAATATGTGAATGCACATTTCCTGGAAGAAACTGCTCTGTGGCAACTGTGAACACAGATTTCTGAAAAGTTATTTTGATGTGTCATCTTGAAGATTTTTTCACCAAAAAAAAAAAAAACCCCATCACTCCTGCATCCCTCAACCTCATATTTCACCACATTCTCAGCTTCTCTCCTTTATCACAATGCACTCTTAATCTCAGTCAATAACAATCATCTCAAAATCTGGATAAAATAACCCATGCTGAGCTCCAACTGGCCCAGCCAGGCTGCAGGCTGTGACACAGTCATATCCTTACCCATATACTTAACTTTAAGCAACTGAACCCACTTTAAGCAGTGAACCCAAGAGGGGTTTAAAATTAATGATGTACATATGTCTCTGCAACCTGGAAGCTTTTATTTGTTTATTAATATGGTTACCATTGAAGTGTATCTGAAGGAATGGAAACAGTCAACTGGTCTTACTTCTGCAAAAGCCTCATGCACATAACAAGCTTGATCTGAAAAGGTTTTTGAAGTAATAATAAAAGGAATAATTATCTCCAGTACATTAACAGCCTCTTAATACAAAGTTGTTACATGCTAAATGGCATACAAATTCTGGTTGAGGAAAAGCAAATATTGTTTTTAATTTACTTCTGAAAACACAAAAAGCGGCTTTCAACTGAACCTGTTATACCTCACGTCTGCAATTGGTTCCCTCTTAAGATCCAAGCCTAAAAGATTTCCTTGTCCAGATCTAAGGTTCCCTTCAGGCTTTCCTCACAGAGGGATCAAGCTTTCCCAGTCCCCAAACTTTCCAGTCTAAAGATAAGCATCTTCCCAATTTTTTTTTTTTGGTTACAAAAAAACTAAAATTTGCAAAAAACCACAGTTTAAAGATTTCATAACCTTTGAAAGGACCTGAGCCTCCCTCACTGACCCTCAAAAGGCTATAGCGTTTTGAAATGGTTCACTCCAGGATTTCCTGAGGATTCTAAACATTTTGACTAATAAAAATAAAAGCTTAGAAAAATGTTGACAGGAAAAGTGAGAGCAGAGGTTTTCCCAAAATGCTGTTAGTAAAATCCTCATTGTTGGTTTTTTTAAACAAAGGATGTTGCTGGATACGCACCCCGCCCCAAATCCTGAAGATGGTGTGCTTTATGGTAAACTATTTAGGACGACCTAAACAAATACTTACTTTATTCCCTATGCTATCTTGTACTCTGGCTTCCTGAGGAAACAAGTCTCATGCAGTTATGCTCTGGGTCTGTCTCGTCCCAATAAATTTGGAACCTATTAGCTGATGTCAGTCAGATTTGCAGAGGGATAGAGGTCTTAAAGATAATTGCCTATATGTTCTTGAAGATAAGTGCCCAGTTGCAGAAGAGGCCACAGGATGAGCTCACTTCTTATGAGAAACCAAAGAATCCCCATGAGACAGAATGAGTTAATCAGTTTACAAAGGAAATGAGAGCCCAATGTATTGGATATCACACTTCAGTACCTGTTTTTATGGCAGGACATTTATGTTTTCTTTGCACCTGTGCAGCAAAATGACCCAAAAACACTGCCTGCCAGCTGAACTGCGTATGGCACTCTGCTAACGCTGCAGGGGAGCTAATCTCTGGATTGAAACTAGTACTCAAAAAGCCACTTGAAAGGTTTTACTTTAGGATGGAAGTTAAAATAAGAAACTCATACAAACACTTGAACACACTAAAACAAAACTTCAACGACTTCAAGCAGGACTTCCCCAGATATTTGTTTATTAAGAGCCATAAACATTATTCTTTCTGATCACGCAGCTCAAACCAGGCTTGGACAAGTAAGGTCTTGCAGCCATCACTTGCTCATTTGTTGGATTTGTAGACCATTTCCTTTAGGGTCGGGTTAGATCTATCTTAACATCTGAATGTGTTTTTCCTTACTGTCTGGGCAAGGCCACAAAAACAATGCCATTTTCTTTTTCTCGCTATCTTATTATCAGTGGCCCCATGACCTCCAGCCTAAATCTCCGAGTTAAATCTCCCAGAGGTGCCCAAGATTACTGAACAACTGATGACTTCAAAACAAACATACTTAGAGCCACTGTCTGTACACAGTCCCACCTAATAAACATAGCAGACAGTATTTGTCCTGGGAAGCAATGGTAAATTATGATGCTGTCTCCGGTAAAGTGCATTTTAATTCACATAAATTATGAACCCTGTATACATGCACTTTGAAAGCTTCTTTGTGCTGCAGTCCCTGGCCCTGGTTTGCAATAGATGAGGCACTGGAAGGCAGTGACTTAACCAAGCGGTGCTGTCCTCCTGTGGAAAGCAGCAACCTAACAGTGTTTTTCCTGCAGTGTTTGGTGACACCAGTTCAGCTCTTATGGAAGATAAGACAGTATACACCACCAACTCGCCAAGCCCACATAGCACCGTGAACCACTGGGCCAGACTTTTTTGCAGCACCAGCACCACTGCGCAAACTATTACTATTGCAAGGACCAAGCCATTTCTGCTACAGGAGGGCAGGAGAGGAAGTAGTAAAGTGGGGACCACTGCTATTGCACTACAGTTGAAAGATCCTCAGGAGGGGAAAAAAAGCTATGGGAATCCCAACTCTTATTTCTTGGTGAACATCTCTATTTGCACCAACTGCTCTTGCCTTCACCTAACAATATCTGTGTTGCTGCCCTGCTTTTTCCTGTGCCCAAGATCCTGAAGGTGAAGGAGCACTTCGGTTGCAGCTGAATCTGCAGAGATGAGCCTGATCCACCCACATGCAGGCTCACTGTGAGTTCTGCAGAACTCCACAAGGGAGCAAATAAGCATAATTCAGAGCCTACCTAGCCAACAACTTCATCCATTACCTTAACACACGAGCAATATTTTTCCCCTCCTGGATTACAGAGGCAGAAGTCAAATACTAATGGAAAGTATGGATTGCAAAAAAAGTCCCTCTTGCACACAAATCAACTTGCACATTTAAACCATTTACTTTCAACTTCAAAAGGCTATTAAAGAACAACCACCCAAACTCCTTATATAAAAACAAACTGATAAAACCTAAATTGGGACTCGAGGTTTCAAAGGGAACTGGCATTGTATAAGAGTGTTGATGTATACACAACAGGATCGGCAATTGTGCAATTTGCTTTGGAACAATTTGAACTTTGTTTTCGCAAACCCATGGGAGTACCTGGAGGTGGGGAGAAGCTGTTTGGTTTTATGTGATATTTTAATGAGATTTGCTTCTGAGGCAAGTAAACTCTGTCCACAGAAACAGATCTAAGAAAACACTGCCACCTTTCCAAACCAGGAAAGGAAATAAATATACACATACCTGAACTGGGCTCAGGAACACTTGAGGGCTTCCACTAAAAATCCTATTGTTCATCATATTTTGTTTGGGGAGCAAAGCAAATGGCTAGATAAAATTCCACCAGTTTCAAGGAACTCTCCCAAACCTTCATAAATGTGTTTTATTGTGCCACAAGCCTGCAGCTTCAGACTAGAAGTTCTAAGACTGTTGTCGAAAGCACAGTGACATGTTAGCGACATGCGCACGACAGCTACAGAAGAGAAATCATAGCCCTTGTGCAGGAAAGATTTCTCCTTGCCTGTCTTGCACGTATTCGACTCTAGCTGAGAAGAGGGGGGGGAAAAACACACCAGAAAACAAAAGTCAAGTTATCCTTTGTCAAATACAATATCATGCCTGGTTCCTGTCAACTGTTCATAACTTTTCTCCTGAACAGCATCAAGGAGGAAATAAAATGTTCACTTTTCTAAAAGATGCTATTCTGTGTATGGATTCTTTGCCATGATCATCACTGTATGTTGGCTCAAAGATGCACAAGACAGTTAAACTTCTCCAGCTCTACATTTTTACTGCTTTTGCATGGGAGAAGAAATTGACCTTGGTCAACTACCTTGTGTTACATCCTTACAAGCAAGATGCTCATGTACTTTGTCAGAAATTCATTTCTTTTGTTACTACATTTTTGGAGTTCCCCAGCTTCTGACAACAGCTCGACTCTTCCTGTCACCTTGTCTAGGAGGC